CTCTAAACATGAATTTGGCAAATGCTTCAGGAGCTGATAATGAATATTATAATTTCCCGTGACAAGTATCGTGGGCTTGACCTAAGGCAGTATTTAGCTCGTGGAGCGAAAATACCTCATTATAATCCTCTCCATTTTCAGAAGTAAAATCAACCCTCTTCTTTTCCTGTTGTTTCTGATAATTTTGAAACATAGGATGGTAGTTCGAAGATGAAGAGTGTTTGGCCAGCGTTTCACCCAATTTATTGGCAATGTCCCATTTATCCGTTAAAAGATGGTCACCGTCTTTAAGATGGTGAACACTCGATTTTGAACCTTTGCCTTTAATTTTTGCTATCATGTTCCACACCGTGGATATTGGCGTGCGAGTATTAATCTTAGAGACATAATTTCTCCAAGACTTACGCTTATTCTGTTTGAATGTACGGCGTCCTTGGCATTTGTTATTTTAACACGATCTAGATTATGTACAGTTGGATGTCTGCGGAAATATTTCTCCGCTTTTTCCCTGCACTTCCTAGCCTGTTTGCATTCTTTATCAAACCAAGGTTTTCGAATGTGTGGATTTGCAGAGGACTTTGGAATGGTTATGTCGGCAATTTCGTTTACAATATCAGAAAACAGCTGAATAGGATCAGTGATATTCCTGAACACATCAGTCTTCAGCCTATCAGTACAGAGTTCCTGAAAGGAAGGCCAGTTGGCTTTGGTAAAGTTCCACCTGGATATGGGTGGAACGTCGGATGGATTATTTGCTGTTAGGATGGAAGGGAAATGATCGCTTCCACGCAAGTCATTGTGAACCGACCATGAAAATTCGTTCAAGAGATTGGAATCTGTAAGAGACAAATCTTAAACGGAATAGGTACCAGTAGCAGGATGCAAGTATGTACTTGAACCATCATTGAAAATGCATAAGTTGTTATCGGAAATAAAATCTTCAAGGGCCTTACCTTTAGGATTAACGTCAACACTTCCCCATAATGGGTTATGGCCGTTTAAATCACCCATGATCACGCATGGCTTAGGGAGCTGGTCATATAAAGATTGAAGATCCGATCGCTGAAGCACAGAAGAAGGTGAAATGTACAGAGAACACAGTGTAAAGGTTATGTGCAAAGTCAGTCGGACTGCAACAGCTTGTAGATTGGTATGAAGTGAAACAGGGCTGTGGATCACTCCCTGCTTTACTAAAACAGAAGATCCTCCAGTAGCCTTAACACCTGGAGGAGAAAATGAATGGTAGGAACTATACCGACGTAAATCAAAGTTATCAGTCTCTTTGTGATATGTCTCCTGGAGACAGATTGCTGATGGGTTAAAATCTTGGATTAATAAATGTATTTCATTAAAATTGGTCCTAAGACCTCTGCAATTCCACTGAATCAGTGGATTCATAATGTTCAAGTTATAGGTGGATGCACAGGAGATCTACGTCTCCCATTTCTAGGCGACTTACTTCGGTTGCACCCGGGTTGGTGAGAGACATCCATGATCTCCAAGGTTTCGAAACGATTATAAATCTGTATTGGGTCACGGTGACCCTTTGAAATACGATCTGAAGTTTTTGAGTGATCAATATTTTTGCTGGCATTTTGAACAACAGGGGATGTTTAAGATGCTGGTACTGCCGGTGGTGTCAATTCTAGGGTTGGTGCTGCTGCTGCCTTGCGTTTGGACACTGATGCTGATGCTGAAATATCTTCTGTTTGAGAAGATGAACTTGACTGTACAAGGGTGTAGGTGTCTGTTGAAACTCAAGTAATATCCGTCTGGCATTCAACAGACATGACAGATTTAGTTGTGCGTGTCACAGCTGCTGAATAAGCCACAGCTGTGGTTGGAGAGACAGAAGCCATGACCAAACGCTTAGCTTCTGGGAAGGTAATGTTTTTGTCATGTTTCAGCTTTACAATTTGCAGTTGGATTTTAAATTTAGGACTGGATTTTGAGGATGCCACATGGTTTCCAGAGCAGTTGGCACAATGAGGGTTTTTCGTACATCTTGTTTCCATATGGTGGTCATCTTCACCACACTGATGACATATCTTGCGATGGTTGCAAGATTGGGCACCGTGCCCGAACTGGTGGCATTTGTAACACCGAAGTGGGTTCGGAATGTATTGATCCACCTCGATGTTAAAATATCCTGCTTTGTTTTTTTTTGGACGTGTTGGTTTGGAAAAAGTCATAAGGTAGGTATTTGAGTTGAAGGATTGATTATCACGCTTGTACGTAAAGCGTTTGACATGTGTAACTCCCTGATCCTTAAGTTCATCAGTGATTTCACTTTCTGTCATATCAGAGAGGCAACGTTCCCTGTCTCTGATAATACCTTTGCAGGAATTTAGAGTTTAATGTGGTGAAATCAAAACTGGAGTCGAAACTAAATGCTTGGCAGCCAGTAAGGTAGTTGATTGTTTTGCAGTCTTGCATTCAACTAGCAGCAATCCTGATCGAATTTTTTTGACATCCTGGACATCTCCAGCAATGCCATAAAGCGCCTTGGAGATGGCAAAATGATTCAATTTCAACGGACTACCATCAGTGGCAGAAACCACTAAAAATCGAGACCAACTTGTAGAAGAATTCTTCAGTATGGTATTTTTCTCATCCGAGGAATCTTCCAATGCAAGCTTTGTTTTTTTGGGGGTGTGCCATTTTGAATTTGTTAAAAGTTCACCATCCCAGCTCCCCACCCACCATGGAGTATCACAGGGACAATGCTATACGCCAGTGGATCTCCAACTGGCAGCACCAAGGATACTGGGATGGTATACTCAAGCAGACAAATTAAGTAAAACTTAATGTAGTCCACCGGATTGGCCCATGAGCCACCGCCTTCTGGGCATACGACTCTAGGCATGTGAATGATTTGTCAATCAAAAAAACGAGTTTTGTTACATAAATAATTGGTCGAGACCTAAAGTATCAAGGACATTTGAATACAAATTTTGTGCAAATATAAATAATGCACAGGGCTCGACATGACCAGCCGATTGATAGAACCGGGCCCATTCTACCACCCGTCTAGGCGAAGTAAGGGTGTATTGGGCAAAGGAACACTGTTCCTGGAACCAGTGCCCTCAACCACCAGACTACCGTCCTCCGCCGACACAGGGGCGCAACCCACGGCAAACAGGTAGCCCAATTCGGTCGTCTCGTACGACCAGCAATGGGGTGCTGTGGAAATATTCTGCCCCGGTTCCACACGGGGGAAGAGCGATTAGCATTACCCAGCTCTCACCACGAGGAGGTTGCTCTTCACGAGTGCCAGGTGGGTCAGTGATGGGGAGTGGTGAGTCAATGATGGGGAGCGGTGAGTCAGTAATGAGGAGTGGTGGGTCAGTGATGGGTAATGGCTGGTCAGTGATTGTGTGTGGTGAGTCAGTGTTGAGGCATAAATTGGACATGTAAGTAATCAGAAAAATTCTGACAATCTGTGAACTGTTATTTGTTGTTATATTTTTCATTAAAACCGAGAGAAATAGTCAAACATTCTGATGAATTTCGTTGTCTATGTGCGAGGACGGACTAAGTCAATTTTTGTTCAATTCACCAAATCATTGCCATGTGGTTTTTTTAATTCCCTAATTCTTCCTACGAATCTCTACCTATGTGTATTCTGAAAATGTTGAACCAATGTATGCAATGAATAGAGGAAACGATAGCTCAAAATGGTAGAAAATTCTACACTGTGTAAAATCTGTATTTTGCTTTGTGTACATTTCAAACAAGTTCAGTTTTACAAGCACAGCGTTCGTTTTCACACCTAATTTATTTTGTTTGATTTTATCCAGACACTTTGTGTTGGTGACAAAGACTATTTGTCACATTTGATTCTACAATGTATGAGGAATTCAAGGAGGTATGTATCGCAGCTGAATTGAAATATTTGTGATGATATTGGAGTCTCATTACCGGCATACATGAAAAGTGATTTTGTAAACACCATCCAATATGGCGGAAAGTTTACTTCAGCGCTCGTGTTTGCGTTTTTTCCTGAACGACTCTTGGGTTATCCGCGACGTTTTGGATTGATTATTGGTGGTTTAATAAAAGACAGATACCAGTGATCACTTATATGGTCTTTTTTAAAATCATTTCTCTGAGTAAATATCCGAAATTTAGATTTAAAAAAATGTTGTATATAACGCTCTGAGTGGAGATTTAGTAATAAGGCGACATTGACGATGTACCTAATTTTCAGTTTTTGTGCTTTGCCTAAAATCCCAGGGGATGATATTACAGAACAGGGAATTTCCCACAACTCAAAACTGTGAAGTGTATTTGTGAGCATGATATATGTATTTTGATTTTTTTTTTCTACTTCAAAGTGAGGGTTGAAGAATAGGGACGTTAAAACGAGCATTCCCGATACTTTTCTTACGGTTTGTTTGTTATTTACCTTTGTATCGTTCAAAGTATTGCTGCCGTATTTTAAGTTGAAACATTGCTGTAAGGTAGAATTGATGCCGATATTTTTTACTTTGAATGGTGAAAAATGTGAGCCAAACGTAGATCTCGATGATCAGAAAAAAAAATCTTTTAAAATTTCGGCAGCAATAATTTGCAAAACAATTTTCCCTGTGTTGTACTTGCGTGTGCGTATATCATGAAGCCAGCATTGTGACGATATCGCATTTGGCAGAGAAAACAGACGGCCGCTTTAGTGTTTAGACCTAAGCCGGAATGCCGTGACGTTATCGACAGTGTGACGTCACTGTCATTGTACATTTGGCGCCACATCAGCTGGGCGAACCTCGGCTCGGTCTTAGGTTACTGAGTGCAGCTAGATGTAAACAAACAGTTTGTTGTTTGATTGACGACTAATTGCAAACTTATGACGTAAAATTAACTCAGAAATATATAACGACATGCATGAATATATCACGAGGTGTGGTGCTTACATACCAATCACACATCATCTCTATTTACACTCAGTTAACAATTTTCTCACCTGATCATGGGAAGTTCCAAACACAACAAATGTCTGAACATTTTTTTACACGTTTTATTCATCTCCAAAAACAGCAAACAGTTCCACGTAAATAAAGACATATTTACACACGACGACGTGAACGGCACACCACGTCACTGTCAGGTCTCCTCCACCATCTACACAAACACGACACTAACGTCACTGAGCGCCACGGGACTCGAGCAGATCCACCACTCGCGGATATCTATTGGATCTAGCATAGTCCGCCGCTGTCTTCCCCTCCTTGTCCCTGGCGTCGATGTCCACCACGTTCAGTGACAGCACAAACTTCACCGTCTCTAAGTCTCCTCCCCAACCGGCGAAGTGAAGGATGTTTACACCGACCACGTCCACCAGTGACACATCGGCCCCTTTACTCACCAGGAGCTGCACCACGTCACTGTTTCCATACCCTGCTGCCCACATCAACGGTGTCCAGTTCCTCCATCCCCTACAATTGACGTCGACGCCAAGAGACAGGAGCCGCTTCACCTCATCCAGCTCCCCCCTCCAGCTGGCGTCAATGAGGCGGCTGCAGTCTGCTGGTGATGGAGTCGCTGTAACACAAAGTAAACTCTGTACACTTCCCGACATCTTCGTCATACATCTACATTGTTCACACCTTAACATGTTGACACGTGACACGATACGTCATTAAACACTACCAACATGGCTGACAATACAACGATCAAGGGGAAGGACGACAGCTGGTTCATATAATCAAGGATTATATATTCAATGTTTAAAATCTTTCTGTTACATCCAGTAGTTGTAACACTATTCTATGTATGGCTGGAGTGTGTTAACATTTGATGAACTGAGCTTTATGAGATGATGCTGTCAGTACCGTTGCTTTTTGGAAATATTAGGATAATAAGACATGACATTGGTTTATGTCAGCCTGTTTGTTTGTCTGTTGTTTTACGCTGCACTCAGCTGTTGTCCAGCAATACGATGGCGGGGTCTGATACAGACAGTCCAGTGGTTGACAACATGAGCACCAATCTACACAACTGACAACTACGATGACATGCAAGAAGCAGGCCAGAACCCCTACGGGTCTATACCCCAGCTTGTTATTTGTTGGAGGGATTAAAGTGTGAGCTGTCTGCCTGCTGGATTCTCCCACCTACCCTGTGTAGCAGGCTTTTTTGTGGTCGCCACTGGTGTCCTCTCGGTCCGACTCGGATCACTCGAGGCTGAAACACAGAACATGCTGTTCAGAAAACAATACAAACCACATAAGCATTATACATACAAGATATGGCCATTCGACAAATGTTATGTATTTGAAATTTTGACTGATGAATACAATTTTTAAACCATTTATCTTAGTGGAGGTATAACTATAAGGTATATCGACTAACAAATCACTCAAACGACTATCATACATATACAACACAAACATTGAGATTGCTGATCATCTGAGCCGCGCCTGTCCACGCTTGTTGGATTTAGCCTTATGATGGTACTGCCAATACAATTGTTGACTTGTTTCAAATTATTAGGATAATAAGAGATTACATTTATCAGCTTGTTATTGTAGAGACTGTTTATATGAAGGTTTGTGGAGGGAACTTTCTGGCTTATAATTGTTACATGTTGATGTGACCTCATCTCGCACAAAGTTCGACAGTGACAGTATCTACCACCTGCTTGGTTTTCACCACCTACCATTGGTCGTCACTGTCGTCATCTGTGCAGCCTTTTCTCTGTTGCTCCGGTCCCGACTCTGGTCGATCGAGGCTGAAACACAAAATATGTAGTTCAATTGGGTTGGGTGAGTTGTGTTTAACAGGTTCATAGCAATATTCCTGCAATATCTGGGCAGGGAACACCAGATCAGGGCTTCACACATTGTACCCATGTGGGGGAATTGATCCCGGGTTTTCCGCTTGAAGGGCAAATGCTTTAACCACTAGGCTACCCACCAACCCCAAGTATGCTGTTCAGATTCTCCCACCTACCCTGTGTAGCAGGCTTTTCTGTGGTCGCCACTTGTGTCCTCTCGGTCCGACTCGGATCACTCGAGGCTGAAACACAGAACATGCTGTTCAGAAAACAATACAAACCACATAAGCATTATACATACAAGATATGGCCATTCGACAAATGTTATGTATTTGAAATTTTGACTGATGAATACAATTTTTAAACCATTTATCTTAGTGGAGGTATAACTATAAGGTCGTCTATCGACTAACAAATCACTCAAACGACTATCATACATATACAACACAAACATTGAGATTGCTGATCATCTGAGCCGCGCCTGTACACGCTTGTTGGATTTAGCCTTATGATGGTACTGCCAATAAAATTGTTGACTTGTTTCAAATTATTACGATAATAAGAGATTACATTTATCGGCTTGTTATTGTAGAGACTGTTTATATGAAGGTTTGTGGAGTGAACTTTCTGGCTGATAATTGTTACATGTTGATGTGACCTCATCTCGCACAAAGTTCGACAGTGACAGTATCTACCACCTGCTGGGTTCTCACCACCTACCATTGGTCGTCACTGTCGTCATCTGTGCAGCCTTTTCTCTGTTGCTCCGGTCCCGACTCTGGTCGATCGAGGCTGAAACACAAAATATGTAGTTCAATTGGGTTGGGTGAGTTGTGTTTAACAGGTTCATAGCAATATTCCTGCAATATCTGGGCGGGGACACCAGATCAGGGCTTCAAACATTGTACCCATGTGGGGGAACTGATCCCGGGTTTTCCGCTTGAAGGGCAAATGCTTTAACCACTAGGCTACCCACCAACCCCAAGTATGCTGTTCAGATTCTCCCACCTACCCTGTGTAGCAGGCTTTTCTGTTGTCGCCACTGGTGTCCTCTCGGTCCGACTCGGATCACTCGAGGCTGAAACACAGAACATGCTGTTCAGAAAACAATACAAACCACATAAGGCTAGGCTACCCACCAACCCCAAGTATGCTGTTCAGAAAACTATATATTGCAGGTAAACATTATAACTATTGGACTCAGAGAAGATTTTGGCTTTCAACAAATGTGTGACTTTCAAATTTATTCAGTAATGAACTTGATGTATAAAACATTTGCTGTTGTAAAGGTGTTATTAATATACCGTAGCATGGTAGCCAACAAATATTGGAAATCGCTTATATTTATTAGATTTAGATTGATGGAAACAACACTTCCTGAATTAGCCTAAGCTGCACACCCCCTCTGTGCTAACTGTTGAGATATATCTCTTCTCTTGGTTGAAATGTTGCAGGAACTAAATATATTGTTATTTTGGATGGAACGTAATCATACAACATATATGTACATTACTACACCAGCGATAGAAACTGGCACTCGTCCTACAGTGCTTGCCAAACGTCCCACTAGTTCAGATATCATAACGACCAGGCTAGTTAAAATATGCCATTTTAAGGGGTTTATATGTTACCATTATAAGGACTAAGGACTAAACAATTTAGTTTATATTGCTGTACACAGAAGAAAGACCAGATCTCAAATAAACTGAAACACAGAATATGTGCATTTATTATATTGGAACATTACGACATGGTATTACATCAGGTACCTACCCATAATTCCCAATTATGGAATGATTAGTATTTTAGTCTCACTTCGTTAGTTGTGGGTGGAATTGCTATGACAATGAAATGGTCCCCGCAAGTTGGTGCGTTGTTGCATACTATTTGCATTTGAGTATCAATACTGTGAAAAGCAAACCTACTTAGTACATACAGGTCTAATACTGAACATTGTTTTCTAATTTTCATTACCTGCTATGTTATTACTGTGTATATACATTATACTCAGGTATTTGTTGTCAGTGAGAATCAATGCACATCGTTATTTATATTTTGACCAGTATATAAATACCACCACCCACCAGTATAATTGTGGAGGAAAATATATTTCTCTTGCATTTCAACGTCTGTGGACAATGGACATTTTACACAAATTTTACATCGTCAAATCGACAACTGTCTTGATGGTTTCTCTATGTCCATATTGCCTTTGTCAATTGATGATAACAGGCTACTAAATGTAGAGTGTTGCGACCTATCGTACTTTATTTGTTGTTCCAAGTGACTTTGCTTGATGTTTTAGTCCCCACCCTCTCCAATACAAACACTCTCTTAACTAGAGTCTTAAACTGGTGCATGTTACGTCGTTTGATGTCTCGGCCTATACAGTATTACAAACGTCATCTACGACACGCTACAGATAAATATTTCAGTGATGACATTTTTTTCATGATGATGCAATGAATGTAAAAGACCAACAGGTCTACTTAAGTCAGCGCGTTTGCAACTCAGTGGTAATTCAGTGTCAAGAAAACTCTTTGCAGCACCTTCATAATTCAGCATTCCGAGCAATGGTGGCACTACATCCATCACGAATCAGCTTACTATCTGAGGCAGAGACTGTAGCCGGCACAACTAGATGTTGTAAATAATTGTTATGAGGTCAGAGGATGAAACTTACAAGCATATATTTTGCAATATGCTGATTAAAATAGAACAAGCCTTGCAGTTGAAACGAGGTATGAATGTTTACATCCAGACGTTTGTTTACCCCCGGTGACAGGTTAAACAAACGTCTGGGTGTAAACATTGTGTGAAGCAAGCACCTGATTGCTTCAAAATGTATTCTGTTGTACATCAATCTTACAATATTTCAAAGTCTGTTTCATTTAATTTCATAATAAAATTCTGACATGCGAAGGGGCTTTACTTTATTTAGTTTCAGATTGCATGTTGAGGTAAAAAATTAAGCCGACTACATTGGTTAAAGAAATCTACCTCATCATCGTGCGTCAAATATGTCTATATTTTATTCTAAGATGCTTCGCTAAAAGATCAAAGGCACCGACTATATTTGATCCTGCGATCAAGCATTGTGTCCACGTGAAGATCTGGAGTAGAATAGGTCTTGAGCAACCCATGCTTGCCGTAAAAGGCGACTATGCTTGTCGTAAGAAGCGACCAACGGGATCCGGTGGTCAGGCTCGTTCACTTGGTTGATGCATGTCATCATATCCAAATTTCGTGGATCGATGCTCATGATATTAATCACTGGGTTGTCTGGTCCATACTCGATTATTCACAGACCGCCGTCATTTAGCTGGAATATTGCTCAGTGCGGTGTTAAACAACAAACCAACCAAACCAACCTTGCGACAACAGTCACAAATTTTTTTGATGCGTGGCGTTGGTGCCCTACGAACTGTCTTCAGTGTGGATCGATGCGCGTGACATCAATCACTGGATTGCCTGGTCCAGACTCGATTTATTACAGACCACCGTCATATAGCAAGAATATTGCTGAATTCTGCATCTTAGAAAAGTAATTAAATTTGCTCTAGCCGCATGTGTAGTGTAATAAAGTAAAGTTTTGACCTGAACTGTTATAACGTCAAAGCAACGCAAGCGTCCTCATGCCTTAACTATAATAGTTCAGGGCAACACTTTACTTTATTGCACTACACATGGGGGTAGAGCAAACTTCATTTTCTTAACTACAACTCAACAGTGTGATTAAATGACGTTTTAAGATAAATTAACAGCAGGGAAGGTTAGAACAAGTACCATCTTTTAACGTCTTTGGGTATGCTTAGATGCAAGTTTTATTACCCATATTTGTTTTCCAAATAGACGTGTGACATATTGAAAAGAAACATTCTCAACAGCGCCATGGGCTTTTACCATACCAGTAAACACGCACATTGTATTCCGCAATCCCCGTTGCTCACATACAACTGGTGGCCATATTGTCCACACATTTGGCAATTACGTATAACTTCAGTCACGTGTGTGAAATGTTGCGTCGTCGTTCATTATCAAACCTACGTATCCTTGCCAAATCCAGTCGCGTGATGTTAATCTCGTGGCCGTCTCGTGACTCGTTTTGTCGTCAGCTACCGTTCGAAAAACCTTTTTTCGGCACGATAGAGAAATCTGATGACCTTACTGAATCGGTAAAAAATGTAATTCTAAAACAGAATCAGAATGGCGGAAATACGGCCACTGCAGTGAAAACCTTTAATGTACAAAACAAGACAAATGGAAAGTTGTGACCTGCACAGTCACCACGTCTACGTTTCCCTGTTTCTCAGTTAAAGAGAGAGCCTCGCTAAGCCCTAGAGGGAAGGGGGGTCCGACGACCGTTGATCCTAAGTCCTTCCTAGACATTCATGTGCCAGTGTGATATTGAAAATGGACCCGCGTTGAAAAGTGACCCGGGAGTCAGTATTCAACGTTGAAAACATACCCGGATTCAATTTTCATCAGACCAGGGTCAATTTTCTACAGTTGAAAAGTGACCCTGTCAGCTTACCAAGTCGTTAAATAGTGACCCGGGCCTCGCATTGAAAAGTGACTCCGTTGAATTGTGACTTCTAGTGTAAATAAAAAGATCTAATGTTATAATCGATTAAATCTTTTTTAGTGTCTTTATCCGGGTGTTTCTGGGTACGTATCTGTCGGCTGGCATCAGTTGTTTTACGTACATGTATGTCTTTTTGAGTGCGGTAGAGAGAAGGGTGGAGGCGTTTCATGTTTTATAAAAACGGGAAAAATCCAGATTCAAGATTTACTGGCCAAAACTATAGATCTATACAACCCAAAATCCAGCTACCTTTCAATCTTCATATTTGTTAAGATTTAATTAATAAACAAAGTACTTTTAAGAGCGGATATCAAAACGTTTTGAGCCTCACTAACTTACAGTTGAAATTCTGGTTAAAGTTACAAATATTTTTCAACGTAGTACCATTCCAGTTTCACAAACTTGTTTTCCAATCATTAATGCCCGATATAAAGTCCAGGTGTCAGTTGTTGTCGTCCTCAAATCTTCAACCCCGCAGGTGCTTTTTAAATTTAGGGGACAAGTGGAAATCACTGGGGGCTAGAGCTGTAGGTCACAGTTCGAACCCACATTCTCGAAAAGGATCCATCACAACCCTGCTGGCGTGTACTGGTGCGTGGTGTTGTTAGACAATCTAAAACAGGTACCAGAATTTTGGTATTCTCCGTTGTTTTGTATAGAGTCGCTTAATGTGGTAGAGAATGCTCGTCGTTATCTACTTATTACAAGTGTTTTAGGCTCAAAGAATTTGATAACGTCCACATTTCCAAAATTCATTGTGCACTTTCGAAATTCGGCAAAATTCACAGATATTACTACAATTTACTGAAGTTTTTGAAATAGTGCTGGTTTTGTTTCTTTTCATGTAATCGTGCACACCACTTTTCACAATTTAAACAGGCTTTTATAGGAATTGTGTGTAACATCATTGTCAATTTTTTAAACGAGTTCAATATCTTTGATTATGTGATTTTTCGAAGAGTTACCTTCATTGCCACACCGATACGGACACAGTTCACTGACTTAATAGAACATTGCCCTTTTTAGCTTTTTTATCTTGAAATGCCTATAGTATGCAGATGTGTCTTTAATCTTTACCTTTGTGTGATCTATTAAGTGTTTGACCTTTTTAGAAACAGTAAAAAAGTTTAATCTTTTGAAAACAAACTTGGTATTTAGCTGTTGGCGAGTCTGGTAACTTTCATTGCTCGGCCTGCACTATTGTTTC